TTTGTATATGAATAATTCAAAAGCCGTTTTGAATGCATTCATGCAGCCCTCTAATACATATGCAATTTTTTTGAGTTTTGTTCACATCAGAGTCATGAAGCTGAAAAAAAAAAACAATTTGAAAGCTCAGAATAGCTCAGCCCCGCTTTCTTTGTGAACGCACCCTAAGAACCAGATCATCGTTAACGCTTAAGTTATTGTCGATGTTAATGTCAGTTCCCAAAGAAACATCAAAAACTGGTAATTTCGCATTGATCAGCTTTACTCTCGCCTCCGATCAGCTTCCACTCTGACGATTTTGTATGAAATTGGAGCTACGGCTCCAAACCCAACAAAAAAAAATTTTCAATTCCTGAAATGTGGTTTATGCCTTGTTACAAATTACTGTTCAATGAGAAAACTCATACTTTTCCTTCTTAGCTGGCCAGCAAGCACAAGTAGAAAATAGCTTCTTCCAGGTTTTAAAGAACTTTGTTCTTTATGCACATACATTTGTTAATGTTCTCGATTTAGAAATTATAATGGCGTGAGTATTTGGCAGCCAGACCTGATTTAAAGGACAGTTTAAGAAATAAAGGACAAAAGGCGTCATTTATTTACAAAAAATTTACAAAGGGCACAAGGGTAAAATAAAGGACAGATGGTCACCGTACCTATAAGTTCCGATTATCTCCACTTCGGTATGGTTGCGGTCTTTTTATAAAAATATTATTTTAAATTTTTATACGTAAGTTTGTAAATATTATTTATAATTTAAAATTTATAATTAGCTTTTTATGAGGTTATCGAAATATTCCATCAATACTAGTTTCAATGCGATACAACAACTAATCTACAGCTAAATGCAAATCCAAGAAAAAGGCAAACCACAGTTGTAGGCCGAACAACGAATGGACAATGGCTGCTACGTTCGAATAGCTATAAAACTCTTTAGTATACGTCAAGTTTTGAAAATGGAAGAGGTAGTAATTAGAAGCAGAAGTAGAAGTAGAATAAAGAAGATAGATAATGGCTAACAAAGAGCCCAAACGCGGCGAAGAAGACTTTGGCACAGAAACTTTGGTAGACACAAAACAATGATAAATCGAAATGCTTAACTGTGTCATAGGTGCATGTGCACTCACAGATACATACATACATAAATGTCTATACATTAGGGTGGTCCAAAAATACAAGCGGGGGAAAAGAATGTTAAGCACTCACCTCCTTGGATTTTTCTAATTATTATTTTTATATTAATAAAAAATGCCCGTATTTCTTTTGTTAAAAAAAAAAAAACAAATGAAATAAATTCTTGCAAATCCATATTTAACGATCGAAAAACTCTGTTTCTCCTTAGGAAAAGTCCCAACAACTATACCCAATTTCTTTAATTAACCATTCTCTAATATGAGCTATTTTTTATAGGTCCCCAAAAACCCCAAACTACAACAACAAAGAAAACTATTTTTTAGTTATGTATTAAGAAATGGTAAAATAAATAAAAAACAGAGAAACAGAGTTTTTCGTTCGAGTTCTATACAATTTCTAAGAAAAAGTGTTTTTCCCATACAAAATACATGGAAAAACATATGGGCTTTGAGGCTGTTCTAAATATAATTTTTTTTTAACAAAAAAAAATCCGGTAATTTTTTTTCCATTTAGAAAAATCCTAGGCGGTGAGAGCTTAACATGTTAAACTTTTTTATGTACTACCCTAATGTACATGCGCGTCAGTGTGCTTCTAAAATGCTGACTTCTAATTTGTTGACTTCTCTAGTTCATCAGTTAGTTGCCTAGATAACTTATTTGTTATTTTGTTAGTATGACTTAATACCTTGCTAACCTATAATTAAGCCAGCGATGCGTTTAGAACGCAATTCATTTAAAGTGGTCATTAAACCATTTTTTATTGAGCAGAATGAGCATTGAGACCTTCGAAGTGGACAGTGGGCCGATTTGAAGCCCTAACATTTTTAATTGATCACTGTTTCTTGCTGTTGTGTAATTTATCTATGTATGTGTACATGGTTGTTAAGTTGTAAAATTTAAAAATTAAAAAATTTATTTGAGGTTATTATGCTAATTGAAATCTTGCAGTTCATGTGGCTGTTTTTTTTTGTTTTAATTGTGGTATTCAAAGTACATATGCAAATTATTCTACCCATGGTTCTTTTGCGGCTTCAATATTTCGTAACAAAGAAATCTTGTTTATTTTTAGTTAATTATGTGAAAATTTACTTATCTATTATTCTTTGTGGCCATTATGTATGTTTAGTATGCACACATTTACATATGTTAATTACAATGCATCTATGCATCCAAGTTGAAAAATAAAAAGTTTCAAAATTGACAATTTATATGGTTGGATTCAAGTCTTAGCGGATATCCTTGAGATACTCATAATTAAAAAAACATGTCTGGCCACAGAAATTTGTACGCCTAAACGTCAGTTAATTCAATTAATAAAATGGTATTAATGTTCGCAACAAAAAAAATAAAAATTCTTAATACAGGCCATTGAATTTTTTTGATATATAAAAACTGATTAACTGATTCTTCATCAACGTCTCAAGATTTTTAGACTCGTCCATGTGAAAGACGTACACTGAAATAAGAAGACGATGATAGTTATAAAGTGAAGTAAAGCTTTGAATGGTGAGTGTAATTGAGTGTGTTTGTTCTTCTGGATAGGCAGTCGAATGACCATACTCAATCTCGACTCTAGCACTCTCGTTCCAAGCACTCTGGGCAACGTGAACAACCCATGTGGGATATGCGGTAACAAATCTGTGTGAGCTTTGGGTCACGGCAGAAAGAGAGGGAGCTTCGGTGGCAAGAATGATAGATTGCGCCGATCAGAGAGGATTTTTGAGAATAACTTTTGTGTGACGTCACACTGGTGCAATTGCGAGAGAGAAATGCCAAAACGTGAGCAAGAATGGAAGAAGAAGAAAAAATGTTGCAAGGAAAACGTAAACAAGTTGCACAAGTGTGACGTCATGCAAACCACGATTCTGTCAAATTCGTTCAGAGAGGAATAGCGGTCCGAGATCGGCGCAACCTTTGTATTCTCTCAATCGTGCTTCGGTGGGGTCACTCCGCATTATTCGGCTTAAGGGCTCACTGAAGCCGGCGGCAGCGCCTGTTCAATAGATGCGGCTGCAAGTGGGCAAGTGTCTGTCTAGGAGCAAACGGCTCAGGTTATAAATGGGTTCTCAAATATTATGCGCTACGTAAAACTCCCTTCCAATGAAAGGTTAAATAAAGTCACAGATGAGACTTTATTCTTTCGTTGACGGCCACGGCAAACGATTATGAGGCTATCATTTGAGGGCTGACATTACCGCCAACCAAGAAATACAATGGACGGGACATGGAAAAAATACCGTGGAGACTTGAACCGTCTACTATAGCTGCTAAGTAAAGGAGTGCAAATTCGGTGTTGGATTAGTGAAGGCAAAGAGCACTGGGCCGACTATTTCCAAGTACAGAAATATTTGTGTGTATATAGATTTTAGGATAAATTTAATACCTTTATTCAAAGACACACACTTCGCCGAACAGGAGATGAATAAAATGTTGACATCAATACGTAGAAAAAAGCTTGAAGGGAGCGTTTATAGTCATCAAGGTCACATCCAATAGGAAAATCATCTCCAGGTTCGTCGAGAGGGGCTTGACGCTTTTCAACGCGAGATCGCCGCGACGAATTTGCGACTGAAGACTGACAGACAGACAGTAAGTAATAAGGAGCATAACCTACCTAACCGGTCATAACGTTTCGCGCTGTCACATGACATACGGATTGGCCTGACGACGTAGACGGAATGCCGTATTTTTCTTAAAGACGACGAGACGTCACAGCATATTATTCGTCAGACTTCAGTCTATATCTTAATTCATCTGCAGTCGAATCACTCATTATTAGAATATCATTCATCAAAGTACTATAGGCAATTATAACGAAAACGGATAGTATCTTGTGCAGGCTGGATTAGGAACTTATCATGGGGATACCAAAGATCTTGATGTTCCTGGTTCTGGCATTTTTTTTTTTTAACCAAAGCGAAACCAACCTACAAGTACTCGGCTCAGACCGCTAGAATTCCTCCTTGATTCTTCCACTTTGATGAGCTGCCTCTTATCTATTGCGGCTACATACATAAACTTATTTGGCTTTGTTCAGCGGCGACTTTACCCCAGCCATTTAGCGATATCCTGGGTTATAAATAAATATTATTATTGGAAACATTTAGCGGGAAAACCCAAGGCGAGTTGTTTGAAGTAAAAGTTGGCTTAAGACGATTACAAGATTTGCCAGCTTCACAACGATTTTCCTTGGTTACACAACTGTCCATATTGTGGGTGTTGTTGGACAATTACGCAACCAGAGATAATAAAGAAAAGCTGCCAGTGTGCATTAAGGACTAAAGAACGTGTACCATTTGTTGTAAGCTTTTTGCAAATGATAATCGAAAATGATCACTGAGCAGGGTGACCAGAAAAAAGTTTAATTGAAACATGGCAGAAATATACGTTTGTAACCCATAGCTAGATGAGAGACAAAAAAAAAAAAATGTATGAAAAATAGGATTTCTTCTTTTAGCGTTTTCGTTTCAATATTTACTTTTCTTTTATAATTTGCAAACAAAAGTAAAAAATTAACTTTATGTGTCAGTAAAAGCTAAAATTTTAATACAAATGTTAAACTACCATTACATCTCACCGCCTATACCCCTTAGCTGTTTTTAAGCAACTCAGCTATTACATGTGTTGTTGTTATAGCTGCAGTTGTTAACCTGTTTGTTTATTTGCACGCGATCTTTGTACGACTAACTACCGCAATTGTTTTTGTTGCTTCAGCAATACACATATGGGTGTATGTAATTTCGCTTAGCAAGTGCCAACAACCAACTAACCAACCAACTAAGCGACAAACAGACAGACAGACTTACCCAAACAAACTGCCTCAAATCGAGTCACCAAGATCGTTGCGAAGTTTTAAAACTCGTGCCGCATTCAAGCCAACCAGCAGATGAAATTCTCATCTCGTCGTGCATTGACGCCGTCAGCTGTTACCCGGCAAATTAAAAATTGTAAAAAAGAGAATTTTTCACAAAACTCCAAAAGCTGCTAATTTGTTGCATGATCAATTAAAACAAAAAAAAAATAATAATATTAAAAAAAAACTGCAAAGTGAATTGTGACAGCCGGAAAACACGAAATTGTGCAATTGGTGTTGTGTGAGCGAATACAAGAAGATTGGTGTCGAGCGTAGTTGCAACAGTTCAAGGAAGTTTAAAAAATAAAAAAATTTTTAAAAAGGAAGTTTATTTGCTGTGATAGTTTTTGTGATTTGCTAAATACATTTAAGTAAAGATGTGGAAACTATTTATCTGCCTTACTGTTTTCCAAGTCATTTTGGCGCAGAAGAGTGAAATACGTAAGGATTTATTTCATTTGCGGTTAATTTTGTATTGGTGAAGGAACTTTTTATTTACATAGAACTATAGTACTTATCACAACTATGCTAAGCAGCTAAATATGGACAATATTTGACTATAGAAAGTAATTTTTAAGCAAAAAAACAAAACCTACTTCCATACCCATATCAAAATTTAAGATTATCGTTTCTTTATGATGTTATGATCAGATCTAAACGAAATTAGTATGGGACCACCCTTGAGGTAACACCTTTCCTTCAAAAAAAAGTCATAGAAAATTAAAACTATTAAACTATTATTTAAAACACTATTTATAAAAAATGCAATTAAATATTAAAAAATTAACATTTTGTAGTTGTTTTGTGCGCATTTTATGGTTTTTAGTAAATTTTTTCAGGTCTTTAAATTTGATATGATCATAAAAATGCCTGGTAACACAGTTAAAAGTGTAACCGTGTAAACATACCAAAAGTAGTATCGGAAATTACAATTTGCGGAAATAAAAATTTCTTTCAAAAGTCACTTTACTTGCAAGGTGTAACCGCTCTTGCAATCACTTTTGGGAATTTTTGACAGACTTTTCACAAGAACTTGTACTTGCGTGTCTAACAGGTACTTAAGACAATTTAAAAAAAAGTTGTTTATGCTTTTTTTTAACTATTTAAATACTGAACGTTAAACTAAAAAAAAAAAACAACAATTTATGAAATCGGCTTTTATTTCTACGAACATTCATCATCAATGAAAATGAAAAAAATACAGTATTTCCCGGATAAAGCACGCACGTTTCTGTCGCAGATTTTAGTGGGAAAACGGATTGGCAAAGTATTCGAAAATGGAATCGGTAAACAGACGAAAATCCGCATTTCATCCAAATTTTTTTTCCTTCTTTGAATCTATTTTCAGAACCAAACCTTCAGAAGAAAACCTTTTTTTAAATATCTATTTTTTGTCTGCTTTAAGCTTTGTTTACAGTTACAACAACACACAGGACGCTTGTACTCTAAAACGTTTCGAGTACATTATTGCTAAAAATTTTGAAATTTTACGCTGTAAAGGTTAGATCGACTCAAATCAGTATTACGAATTCTGTAGACTCGTTTATTGACCATTGTATTTATACAAATTTTTTTCTTAAGTTAATAGTTAAATACTTTTATATATTTTTTGTATACTATACCTTTGCGACACATATTTAAGATCTTTTATTAAAGCCTTTAATTATGAACTGTGTCAATATTATGATCGTACTAATATAAACTCGTACATATGTATGTATGTATGTACACACTAATAAAGGGTACTTACATGTGAGTTATTTTGGGCATACTTCTCATGTCAAACTAAAACCAAAAAAAAACTTAAAACGAGTTTTGATTAAAACATGTGTAAGTATAGTGAATGTATCTATATGTCGAAATTAGGGGCAATTAATTCGCGAATTTGTGCTAACAAACTTCGATTCGGCCTTGAGCAATTGCCGCTAATACACACATATGTATGTATGTATATACCTAGAGGCATACATATGTATGTGGTTAAACACAAACTTAAATTCTTATAAGCGACTCCAGGAAAAATCGACCAAGAATTGACCTCGTATTTTGCTTAAAGCTATTGAAACTTGTTTTGTCTGAAATGGCCAAACAAAAATTTATTATTTTCGTCTGCAAATTTTGCAAGTTTTTGACTTTAGTTGAATTTTATTTTTTTGATAAAAATATCACTTCGGTTACTAAACGAATTTATATCACAGTTTGGGTTATACAGTGGCGGTCAAAAGTGGATGAATCGCATTTCGTATTTAATATTTACAATGTTTTTTAAGCTATCATTTTTTTGATATATTTTTTTTTTTAATATGGTTCATGCTTTAACAAATACCATATAATTCACACTTTCAAAATTTATACAGAATTTAGAAAAATTCCATAAATTTTTATCTAAATTTCGAGGTTTTTAAACAGAATTTTTTTTATTTTTTTGGTATGCAGGATGATAAAATTTTAGTAAAATTAGTGTAAGTTTTGAGCGGCTGAAAAACCGCATTGATTTCTAATACTTTTTTTCTTTTTTGACAGCGTTTTGAACTTTTTTCCATATAATTATGAATTTTTTGTGGTAGAATATGTGCAAGACCATTTGCAAAAAAAAAAAAATTAAAAAAAGTCCACGCCAGTTTTCCTAAATTTCGCTTTTTATATGAAAATAAAATTATTAAAAATCAATGCGATTTTTTAGCCGCTCCAAACTTGCAATAATTTTACTCAAATTTTATAATCCTGTTAACTGCATACCCCAAAAAATTTAAGAAAATTCTGGCTAAAAAGCTCGAAACTTAGATACAAATTTGTGGAATTGTGTTTGAAAGTATGATTTATATGGTTTTTGTTAAAGCATGAACCATATTTTTGTAAAAAAATAAAAAAAAAATTTTGCTTGAAAACCATTGTAAATATTAAAACGAAACACCATTCTTTAATACATACAGCGGGGAGCAGAAATGAGTATACGGAGATTTTTTTTTAAATATTTGCAAGGTTTTTAAAGTTAAAATTTTTTGTTTATTTTTTTCATAAAAGTATGGTTCATGCTTTAACCGAAACCATATAAATCAAACTTTCAAAGCTTATACTAAGCTTAGAAAAATTGAAAAAGATTTCATTAGAATTTCCACCTTTTAATCTGATTTTTTAGAATCCTACACCAAAAAAAAAAAAATCTCAAAAATCAACGCGATTTTGCCGCCGCCTAAAACATGCACTTTATTATACTAAAATTTATTAGGCTACCAACGACTACATACTCAAAAATATTCTAAAAAATTTATTAAATTTTTCTAAGCTCTGTTTGATTTATATGGGTTTGTTTAGGCATGAAAAAACAACAAAAAAATGTTACCTTTAAATCCATGCAAATATTTAACAAAATCACCCTGTACTCATTTCTGCTGCCTACTGTATGTACATATGTACATATATACATATGGATGTGTCTTGCTGGTGTCTGAAGAAATCGCGGTAGAGCAACTCGATTAACTTTTAGTTCAGACCCCATATCCGACTAGAGTGTCTTCTGTAGGCTCACATAATGCGGGTGGTTTTACCAACAGTTTTCGTATAGATGAGAATTTTAGCTTACGAGTGTTGAAACACTGTTTGGCTTCAAAGCAGCCTTTGTTGGGTTAATACTGACACCACACGCAGAGCTGGACCCATAAGACAGTCTGAGACAGTGCTGCTGAATGTTGTCTTAAAAATAATTAGCAGGTTCTGTGCTTGTCCATTATTTTACATTTTAAAGTCAGAGCAAATAGGATTGAAGTTACAACCTTACTCAGTTTACAAAGCGATTCAACACAAACTCGACAGCAAGTATTTGAGTAACGCTAAAAAACCAGATAAATAGATAAAGGTAAACAATAAATAAATAAACAATTTTCAAGTTGAAGGTCTTTTAACGGTGGCTGCTTCAAACCGCTGCCTAGTAGATAAATAAGGAAAGAAAAACCAAAGGTTAATTTATGTATTCATACCAAAATTTACATTTATATGTACATTAGGGTAGTACAATATACATGTGAAAAAATAAAGCCGGGATTTTTATGCTCTCAACCCTAAAATCAGAAAATATTTAGAAGTCGCTCAAAGCGCTCAAATTTTTCCATATAAAATGGAAAAAAACAACTTGTCGTAGAAATGGTATAGAATTCTTGAAAATCAATATTTTTCGATCGGAGACCTCTGTTTCTCTTCAAAAGATTCGCAATAATAATACCTAATTGTTTATTTAACCATTTCTTTATAGTAACTGTATTTTATAATAATAAAAAATCTTTAGTATTAAAAAATGGTTAAATAAACAATTGAGAATCATTACTGGAGGTCTCGTGAAGAGAACCGGCATTTTCCGATCGAAAAAATTTTGATTTTCAATAATTCTATATCATTTCTACGAAAAGTTGTTTTTTCCTATATAAAATACATGGACAACTTTGAGCGCTTTGAGTGACCTAAAAATATTTTTTGATTCCAAAATAAATTGGAGTCTATTTTTTCGGTATAGAATCGAGAGAGAATCCCAGGGGGTGAGAGAAATAAAATTCAGACTTTACTTGTTTTGGATCACCCTTATGTTCATACATATTATATACATGCTTGTATTTTGATTGACTAGAAAAACGGAAATATTTTTGAAAACACAATGCCATTAAATGATTTGTTCAACTAGTCATCAATTAGTCAGCAACAATCAACTAAATATACATACATACACATGTATGTCATTGGAGCAGAGCTTATTGAATTAATTCAGTGTTGCACAGATTAGCTTTTAGCAGGCTTATTTAGCCTGACCGGCAGATGAAGTGTTCAGACAGCACGATGTTGTATCTAGTTAATTAGCATTGTGAATGAGTGACTCCGGCAAATTAATTGTAGGTACCTATGTATTAATTTACCTACATATATATGCATTCAAATGTCTGCACTATGGTTAGGGTGACCATCTGTCCTGTATTGTACGGGAAGTCCTCTTTTTTCGTTAATTGTTCGGGCAAGTTTTTTAATTCGTACGGGACGACAAATATTCTGTATTTTATTTAATTTCCCGTATTTGGCAATTTGGCGCCTTAACAGCTCATCAAAATGACATATATGAACCAGTTTTTATTTTTAAATCTGGACGCTTGTGATTAGAATCGAGGAGCACATAGATGGTTTCTGAAGTTATAATTTTGTGTTTTATTGTTCAAAGTTTTAAATTTTACCAGCAGCATTTAAATTTTTTTCGAGAGCTTCGTCTCTTAAATGCAAACTCATTAGGCGAAGCTATGCCAAAAAAACGATTGCTGATTGTAAGAAAGATTGTGTCTTCAATGTAACTAACACCAAATACGAAGAAGAGGAGAATATTGTAAAAGTAAAGAAGCTCTCAAAGTTTGGAAGTTGGGAAGGGGATTCCTTCAGAGGTACGCTATGCACTTCAGCTCGTTCCGGATGCTATTCACAGCATTGTGCTTGGCCAAAATCCGAGCCGTGAAATAATACTCGTAAATATCGTTGTCGGCTAATAAATCTATGATCGTTGAATGAGTTTTTAAAATCCTCTAACTTTTGTGGATAAGTGCAAAAATTATTATTTTTATGTTCCGTATTCGGCTGCCATAAATACATATGGTCACCGTAACTATGTTATGTTGTTAGCTTATAAATATTTCCGTGGTCACAAGGTATAACAGCTTAAGTCGGGAGGTTGGCTTTAGTTTAATATACCATTCGGGTAGTATGATTGCGAATTACGCACTAGTCGTTTGAAAAACTATTGGCAAATAAACATGAAAAAAATAAATTTTAACTAAACCAATATCTCCAAACAAGCCTAATATAAAGTTCTTTGTGGTTCAAATATTAAACGGAATGGTGAATTACACTGAAGCCAATTTCCCGACTTAAGCTGTTTTGCCTTGTGACCACAAATTTGTGTGTTTGTAGGTCAGGTAAAACTTGAAAAGCCTTTGCTATACATAAAACATATTTGTATAATAGTGCATTGAACTTTAGGAATGATAGTTAGATTTGTGAGGAAAAATATTTATTTATAAATCTATACTAAGGACACTCAGAGACACAATTATAAGAACATAGTAAACCAAATTTTTAAGTGCGTTCATTTCGGTGATTCACAAGAAATAAATAAATGGGGTTTAGCGGATCCCCAATGCATAATAGGAGCTAATATTCGCTCATAATTCGCTCATACCTTGTATGGGGAAAAGTGCCTAGAGCCGTCAGCAAAAAAAAAAAATATATTAAAAATCAACGCGATCTCTCAGCCACTTCAAATTTCTACATTGTTATATTTAAATTTAATGGGCTTTGAACCTGTATACCAGCATATCTTTTTTAAACCAGAGTAAAAAGTTAAACATTTTAATGCAAATTCGTTAAATTTTCCTTAATTTTGTGTAACGTTTGAAGCTTTGATTAATGTGGTTCTGTTTGGAGCGTGAACCATATTTTTGTAAAAAAATTACAAAAAATTATTGCTTGAAAAACATAGCGAATATTAAAAAAAGCAGGTATACGCAGATATAATACAGTGAGTGTACTTTCTATCAGTTTAAAAACATTTTTTTTGTAGTTAAAAATCCCTAACAATTTCGACCTTGATTTTACGTTGAAAAATTTAACGCTTTTGAGAATTTACCACGCTTAAGAAGTCTTGTGAATCCCCTAAATTATGTAGTTTGAATATTTTTGCCGTAATCTGAAAAAACCATTTGTAAAAATTTGCGCTTGGTTCAATTAAGTGTCTCTAATCCTCCATCACTAACACTACTAGTATGTACTATAAAGTCACTTTATGTTTATTGTTGTTATTCTTTACTACAAATGTATAATTCAATAAATTTTTTTTAACACTCATTCACAGCCGCATATATCAAACAATGCCGTCGAGGTGATCCGCAATTGTTGGAGTGTTTTAAAGGTTCCTTGGAGCATCTGAGGCCATATTTGGCGCGTGGCATTCCCGAAATCGAGGTGTGTTAATTTGCTTTAAATATACAATTTGTTTTCTCAAATACATAATATTTACTAGCTATGTATGTACACAAGTACCTGAAACGCACATTTATATAATACTTACATAGTTAGCTCAAATTGGTATAAAACATGCAATATTTTTTTGTAGTAAATAAGCGATATCGCACACCTAGATCTGGAGTGAGCTAACTCAAAATCCAGAGTAGAAAATTGTCAGCAATTTTTTTACTGAAAACTTAAAAGTTTGAAAGGTCTTCTTAGCTTCACAACCAAAAAGTATTATTTTCTCAAGAAAATATTAAAAAAAAATATCGCAAAAAATCCAAAAATTTATCAAATGTATAATGCACTATTATTTCTTTTAGTATCCATTCAAAAATTAATAGATAATAGGGCATGAAGAGTTATGACACTTATGCCAAACATTTCACTTCACATTTGACGATTTTTATATCTGATCGAAAAAACATCGAAGTATTTTTTTGACTTGCATCCCTAAGTCAAATGTGGTGCCACACCAAATGATGCCAAACTTAGTCAGAAAGAAGAAAGTTGCAGAGTTGCTTTTTTGCAACTAAAAACCAAATTCGATTTTTTTCTAGAAAAAGTGGACTTTATCCTAATTTTAGCATTACAAAGTTCGATTTCGAAAATTCGCCATTTTGGAGCTAAAATTCGATTTAAATTCGACTCTCGAATCTTCGAATATCGAATTTACCCATTCTAGGTCCCTCCACATCACAAACTGGCAGAGAAGCTCGGCCAAACACTTGGCAAATGTGTAAGCGGCAACATATTATTATATGGTGGAGGCAGTTTCATCAGAAATAGCTGTAAGAGCGCTGAAGAATTGTTGGGTAACGATTTATTGGACCAAGATCTTTTTCTGGACTTAACGAACTGTGAAAGTCAATGGTGGCTCTGCCAGGTCTCAAGGCACACAGATATTCAATGTGTGTGTCATATTCGCACACCCAAAAAGTCATTCAAAAATTGCAATTCGTCAATTTGTACTTGCACTTATATAACTACATACATACATATGCACATAAATGCATCCTTAAAATGCTATGGACTCAACAATGTCTGTGCAATTAACTCTCGTAACATTAACACACAAACACGCACAACGCTGTCAGCTCTCCCCCAGTCAGGCGGAAAGGAAATTATGCAACGCTTATTTTCAAGCCGAGCGAAATGCAACAAAATGACAATGCGGTTAAAACAAATGCCCAACAAAGCAATTCAATAATTGTTGAGTGCTGCCTGGCGACAGACAACAAATGGTTGATTGTCGTTTTCGTGTTGCACAGACGTTTTGCACATTTTAATGGCATTTATGTTGGCACACTTCGATGGTGCATTTATGTATTTACTTTTTTGTTGTTGTCTGTTTTGATCCCCAAGCTCTTGCACTCCATCAACGGTTTGGCGTAATGCACTCTTTTTTTTCCAGAAATTACCCAGCGATTCCATTTGCTTTCCCAATAGCAGTTTTTCTAGTTTCGCCATTTTTAGCTTATCCAACTATGCGATTTTCACGCTTCCACAATGCGATCGCAATTTCTCTTGCAACACGTTTTTTTTGCTGAAATTTATCTATTCATATATGTACATATGTATGTATGTATGTAAGTAAATATGGGGCCCGTCTTAAACGCCGCATTCGGTAATGAAAATGATGCCAATGAATTGGCACTTTTGTGGTCGAGCAGGAAAATTCCAGATTGCTGTTTTACTTGCTTGTTAGACTGGGTATTTGTGATAAAAGATGATACATACGATGCGAAAAAAAGTATTGCCTAACTTGTTTTTTTGTTTTTAAATTAAAAGGAGAGATGTGCGAGAGTTTCATAAATTTACGTAAGCTTTGCATATGATTTGTATTTCGCATATCGATGATCTGAGTAGCGGGAAAAAAAGCCGGCAAAAAAGTAAAATTTTACTTGATGTACTTGCAATCGCACGGAGCAAATAAAACGAGCACGTATTTCTTCGATTACAAAACATTTAGTAATGCATTAAGCCGAATGGGGCTCTGCTTTGAAATGCATAAATATGTTATGCGTTTTGCGTGCAGCAAATGAGAAAAGTATTGTTAGGCTACCGAAATTGAAAAGAAGTAATCCTTAAGATAAATTCCACGAAAAGCGTTAAAGATTTAGACGTTTAGACTAATTGTCATAGAGCTTGGTAAAAATGATTTATTTTGGAACGAATTTCCGTCATCGCTTGTCAAGTTTGGTTTGGAGGCAGACCAGTTTCGGCCTCCCCTTTCCATCTTTGGGAGCTCTCAAATATGTATGTACACTTAGGTGAAAAATTGAGTCAGTAATAAACAAATTCACAATTTATGCGTTTTTCGGTGGTTCTTTGGTAAAATTTGAATCTTAAAATTTTTGGGAAACCTCTAACTGATCTTGAGAAATCCTGAAATTTTTAATAAGGTCTTTTAATGACGCTAATTTTTAAACCATGAAAAAATTATTGCAAACTCTAAATTAAGAATAAATTTAAAGTGAATAAAAATTTTTTAACATAACTTTATTTAGAATTTGAAAAAAAATGTCAAGTTCAAAAATTCATATCTTAAAAAAACACTTTGAAAATTTTAGAATCTTATAAGATTAATTGGAAGTATTGTATAAATCAAAATTGAGCCATTGCACATAGTATTTGACCGATTTAGGCGGCCAAAATTATTTTTATGAAAATTTTAACTCAAAATGTTTAGAAACCACGCGTTACGATATTCAAAACGGTAAATGTTTAAAATCAAGTAAATAGAAGGGGAGATGTGCTAGCATTCCACCAAAACAATGAAAATAAAGCTGCTTAAAGTTTTACATCGATAGACTCCCATGTTATCGAGGTCCGATTGTAGTAATATTGATACATGTATTCGTATCGGCGAAGAGAAGGTTCATTTCTAGGTTTGAAAATGAAAAGGGTTGCCACCTCCTAAAAAATTAGATGCAATTAAGTTAAATGAATCACTAAATTACTAAATCAATCGAGATGGTTTTGAACAGGCTTTATTTCTAAATGTGGGAGGATTACCATCTGTTTTGTAATTAAATTCAACTTTAATTCAAGGGAATTAGGTAACTGAAATATGTATAACAATATGGGCGTCAGACTAAAAAGTTTAATAAGGTTATAGTTAAAAACTATTTTTAACAGGGATGTCACTTGTTTAAAAATTAAATCCATTATATATAATAGGTTAAATTAAATCTTAACAATATGGATATGGAACATGAGATGGTTTGCCACCTGTCAAAAAATTTAATTCAATTAATTTCACGGTAAGGGTATCATCCAAATGGCTTTGAAAGGGCTTAATTTTCAACTACATTTAGTAAGATTGCCACCTGTTTAAGAAAACAAATTCAAAATAACATATGAAGAGAAAAAACACTATATGGAACAACCATTATGTTGAGTTTTATTGAAAAAATGTCCACCTTATGTAACACGCAGAAATTTAATACACTCATCGAACCACCGCCCCATCCCCCCTCCCCCGCTTAACGTTGTTGGGGTCTTAACTTTCCTACCACCCGCCTTTACTCATTGAACACATTTGCAGTGTACCCTGTACATGTAAAGAAAACTTGCACAGTACTGCAGTAGTAATTTCGTTTTATTTTTCGGTAGTAGTAAGTATTTCAAATGGTCACTGCACAGCAAATGCACATTTTCAGCAGATTTTTTTGTTTGTTTCCAAACTACGAACTGTCAAGCATAACACCCAAGCAAGAATCTCAGCGCAGTTGAGTGGTGTTACATAACTTTATGACTGTAGTTCATTCCTCTAATCCATTAAAATTAGCAAAAATACGATATTTTTCCTTGTAGCTCTGCCGGTACCAGTTCATATTAGATTTGTATTAAACTATGTGGATTATATGGTATTCATGTGCTGTACAATCCATTTTAATATAATTTAAATAATTAACACACGATTCAAAGCAGTGTTTTACAACTTAGGCTTGTATGAAACACATCTAAAACCCAAGTAAATAGTTATCATCACGGCACTTTGACAGTGCGGTGCGAGCGAATTAAAGTAAAGAAGGAATAAAAAATAATGGAATCTAGTCAAGAATTATATTCTCTTCACCCTATATTCAGTTATAAAAGAAAAAAGTGCGTTTGGAAAATTCGACTTTTGGCCGCCTAAATCGCGAAACTAGTCTCGGAATGATCCTGAAATAGTTTTGAAAACTTTTCCCGACGAAATTAATAAAATTATATGAAATTAATGTTAAATTTGTAACATAGCCTGTTTATGCATGTAACTGAATCGCCTAATGCTTTGCCAAGGCGTACACAGTTGTTTACAAATCAAATTTCTTTGTCTTACATAAATATCATCTCCTCTTGCGCTCATTGCAGCTACCCTCCGTAGAACCATTCAGAATGGATGCACTGTCACTACAACTCACCGATGGTCCACAAGGCTATAAAATCACCTTGAAGAATTTGGAAGTACTGGGTGCAAGCAATTTTCAGGTGAAATCGATGAAATTGAGTCAAGGTGATGAACCTTTCAAGGCGCGAATTGCAATGCCCAAATTGAACATCGAAGCGAAATACACGAGTTCCGGTGTGTTGCTTATCATACCAGCCTCAGGTGGTGGTGACTTCCATGCCACATTTGGTTCGTATATAAAATGAATATATTAAAGAAATTTAAAGGCTGAAACCTTTTTATTTATTATTTTTTTGTATTTTACTTTCAAATTGCAGAGGGTGTTACTGCCGATCTCACTGGCAAGGTGTCGTCAAGCGAAAAGGCTGGTCGCTCACATCTCCATGTAGACTCACTCAGCCTGGTTCTGAATGTTAAGGATGTGGTCATGAATATTTCCGGTGCCTTTAATAATAATCGCATATTGCGTATGTATTTGTTTTAATTTCTCAAACGAAACGTTTACAATGCTATTACTATTTAACGATTTATTTTCTTTCCAGTTGAGGCCACAAATCTATTCTTACGCGAGAATGCACGCGTCGTTTTAGAGGCCATGCAATCGCAGTTACAAAAGAAATTGGCGCAGGAATTCGGCAAACTGGCTAACCAGCTGCTGAAAAATGTACCCAGCGACTTGTTCTATGTGGACTAAAAAGTGTGATTTTGTAATTTGCTTGCAGAGATTCGAGTCATCTCAAGACACTAACAAATATGTACATATTTCATAATGACTTATTCCAAGAGATTAGCTGGTATGTGGCTCTACACATTCTGCATGCATTTGACATTAGTTTCCCTTTTTCCTGACAAAATCGTAATAGACTAACGGCTTAGTTGCTAGCGAAAAATTAAATTCACAAGAAAATACACTTCTTTCACTTTCGGTATTACTATGGTCTTGAGATTGCCTTATCTTACTGCAAGCATATTGAAATGTATTATTATTTTGTTGTTTTGTAAATAGTTTTATTTTTAAGTTGAAATTTAGTTATAAGTTTTATTCATTTAAGCTTGAGCCCATTGTATTACAATAAATTTAATCAGTAAACTTTTATATTTTTATATACATACATAGATATGTATTTGGAAATGTCTTTCCTATAGTACTTAACCTACATTAGGGTGCATCACTCTCTATACAAAAAAAAATATTACTGTTTTCCCATCGGAATTATAAAATATTTTACATCTTGGGACTTCTGCCAAAATATTTCTGAAGAATTTTAAGATTGAACCGTTCTTAAAACACCTCCAAAAATCCAGTCTTTTATAAATAAAATTAGTCATTTGGCTAGTGTGCTAATGTCATTGACATTAATTTCCTTACGAAAGTTAATTTATGGCAATTGACATTAATTCCAATGACATTATTGCACTCACCTTTTTTACTCTTACATTTGATTGTTTGGATGGCTTCGCGGACCACTTCGGGTGTTTCCGGCGTTAAGAACAACTGCTCTAGAGCGGTGATGTGCACTACCTTTCCCGCGGGCAAAGCTCTTTTAAGCAGAGTAAAAGCTCTCTCTGCCCGTCGCTGCTCTATAGGATTCTCAGAAGAACTTCTGAATCTCTCACAGGCTGCCTGACCGTTAAGATACCATCTGGGAAAGGTGGGACTTTCTGCAGGTTCCGCGGCCTGGCAGAGAACAACGCGATACGCGCTGGTGGTAAAAGAGGAATAGGGAATTTCCAATTGGCGTCAGTTAGCCAGAAGAAAAACGACTGGCCGGCTTTATTGGACTCCGGCAGCAAACAAACAGAAGAATCTGGGCTATCACTGAATTCTAATAGCTACCAATGTACGAATGAGGTTTTAGAATTATCGAGATTTCAATTTTACCTGAACAGGAATAAATACTTAAACAAAATTTGAAACAAAAATGTTAACGGCAAACGTTAACACGATTCTACTATGATTGAACTAAAACTGTACAGAACTATGCTTTACGTTACGAATTACAAGAAGTTTTCAATAACGAATTACGATTTATAAAAGGTTGAACATAATTTGCATGGTAAAAAATACGAACTAACGAGGGGACCAAAATGTTCGGAAAGTTTTAGAATAAATGAGATCTTAAAAGGGTCCAACGGAGTGTTGCGAATTATTAAGATTTTCGAATTAACGGGGTACGAATTATCGCAATGTCATTGTTCTTTACATAAACACGTTGATAACTAATTGGATTCAGTGATCGCATTTTCGGAGATTTCAAGAAAATCGTACGACGATGAATTCACTTGCTCCTGCCAGGAAAATAACTACAGAGCAAGGCGGGGTGCTGTCGCCGCTGCTGTGGCTTTGCGAACTAAACAACAATCTTCTAAGGCCCAACAGGGAAGGAGGTTAAATTTGGTCGCGTACGCAGACGATGTAGTGATTATGGTAACCGGATTGTGCATAAATGTGATAAGCGGAATGCTTCAAAGATCAGTAGGGGAATTGGGTTATTATGCAGATAGCTGCGGACTCAACGTTAATCCCTCGAAGACAGAGTTACTTAATAGTACTTACTTACCGCAAGGAAAACGATTCCTAATTTTAACCTACCTTCCCTAGCGCTAAGTATTTGGGAGTCATTCTCACACCCAAATTAAACTGGAAAATGAACACAGAGCATCGAGTAAAAAAGGCCTATGGTTTTCTTTATTCGTGTAAGAAAATGCTGGGTAAGAAGTGGGGCCTACGACCTGATCTTATGCTATGCATGTACAAGGCGGTAATTTGCCCAATTATTGCAACTGGTCGCTGGTTTTGTGGAAGGTCGTAGAGATGAACTATATACACACAATATTAAACAGGGTACATAGTCAGCTAGCATTGCGATTACTGGGGCGATTACGGGAATGGACGTATCTGGTTCTATTTAAACGACCGAAGCATTCGCGAAAAATCTGATCACATCTGTTCTTCGCTTATCTTCAAGAAAAACTTACTTACTTACTTACTGAACGCTTTTAAGTATATATTTTTACGCAAGGCTCAAAATGGATTGTGGCGTTAATTTTTTTAACTGACCTCCAAATCGAAGATTCCATTCGACTACCGAATTCGGCCAATGTTTTTCAGGCGAAGATCTTTGTGATCAAAGAGGCATGCGAAATAATTTTAGCCTCAAAGCTAGCCGGGATTCCGCATTGCTATATTCTCAGATAGCCAGGCAGTGATCAAGGTCCATGGCTCTGTAAGCATCACATCCAACAAAATAAAACAGTGCGGAGAGAACGTTATGGCTTTAGCTGATAGGCATGTCGTTGCACTGATCTGGGTGCCGGGGCACAGCAGAATTTATTGCATTGAGATAGCCGGCGAGCTAGCCAGGAACGGATCGGCTTTGGATGTCTCAGAGGCACAGGAGGTTCTTGTGCTTCTGAGCTATATCAAGAGCCGCATCTCTCAGAACTGGAAAAAGGTGGATAATATAGGTGGAAAGGTCTACAAACCTGTAGGATCTGCAGGAGTCTTTGGCCCACCTGCATTGCGCAAAACGCACTGCATTTCTCATCAAACTCAACAGGAGGGATTTCTATCGACTAACTGGCGTTTTGCACAAGGCAACAGGGCCTAGGAAATCCATGCTGCAAGACTAGGACGGGAACACAACATCTCTTATTGTAGCTGTAATTCGACAGATGCAAGTTCTTGTAAGTTCTTGAACTACACATACAGGATTTAAGAGAAATAACCGTCTTCTGCTGGATTCTTTTCGTGTTTTCTTTTCAGCTTCAATAGCGAGTAGTGGTTTTATAACGGCACGCATAAGTGCTAACTAACCAACCAACTAAAATAAGTATGTACACTGGTTTCTTTTCTAATAATGCATTTTTATTTTTATTATTAAATATTGAAATAGTTAGTTACACAAGTCATTTTATATGCATCTTCTTTTATTTTGAGTAATTTCGCTTTTACTTTGACTTATCTCATTTAGCTGTTTTCGAAATTCACTGCGATTTTTCTCAACGTTCACATGCCCTTAATCGCAAACGAACTTCTCATTCGTAATACAATTAGTTTTAGAGTAGTTAAATTTACTTGTAGGGTATATAAATTTATTTATTTATTTCCATTTAGTTCCTGCTTTCTGCGTGTTAATCTGTGATTTTAGTTAATAATATTTATAATAACTACCGACTTACACACATACAATTAATTTATATGCAATTATTTATGTATGTACGTGTGCTGTGTGTTGTATGTATACAAATATGTTATGTGTTTATATGTATATATTTGCAATTAGTTATGTGTGTATTTTTACTTCAGCATGAGTTGCAAACATACATCAGTCGCATTGTTGTTTACTGAATGCAATTTCGCTTGCAATATTTCAGCTTATTCCGATTTTTTTTCTTTACAAAATTTGCAAAGATTTATACAAACACCATGCATATACTACTTGCCAATTTTTTGTATTAATTTCATAAAGTCTATAACACAATGCTAAAATGGGCTTACAAACAGCTTCAAAGTAGAACATCACTTACAAGTAAAATAAATAATTGTGTACAAGTAAATTAGATTGAGACTAATAAATTACAATGCAATATACATAAATATACAACAATACATACTAGCATACCTACACCAACAACTTGCAGGTAGGTATGCCAGCTTTTTTTTTTTTTGACTAAAAAATATACTACAGTTCATAAGGCGTTGACGAAACGTCGACGTTCAAGGGCGTGATTAATATAATTTTTTTTATTACATAAGTTTGCAAGTGTTATTGTTTATCTTTTATTCGATAAAAATGTTTATATAGTATTTATATTAAATTATTTATTTACTTCTTTCTTATTACAATTTTTTGATAAAAGTCCAGTTTTACAGAGTTTGCGTGTGTGTGAAATAACAAATGATTATTTTCCCCCTTTATGTTTTTCTTTAAATTAGTGGATATACATACCTTTTACTACACTTACTTTTCGCTTTTAGATTTTCATTAATTACATATATGTAAATATTTATTTTTTCCTGACACTGTCTCTTACTTTAAGATGCTATTTTTTTTAAGTTTGTTTTCTACATATTTATACGCTTTTATTTACGTTTCTACTTTGCGTTGCAACTACCTTAGATTTTTATATTAAAATTTACGCTTCAAATGTCCATGCCGCTGCTTGTTATATAGCAATGAAAATGTCCTTACTTCCGTAACCTTTACGGGTATATCAAAGTGGTAAATAGACAGCAAGTGGTAAACAAAAAAAAGGGTGTGAGTACGAGGTATACTTGAAATTTGATGTGTAAACATCTTTGTCCCAAAAAAGTACTGAACTGGTTCTCAACTATAACCGAAATGATCGCGGTAAAGTCCCGAACTGGTACCAAAATGCACCTAAACTAGTCCCGAATGAGCCTCAGAAGGGTCCCGAAATGGTCCTCAAAACGTCCCGAACTACATATATCAGAGATCAGTGTTGCTATAACAGCTTCTTAACCCATTTACGCCCAAACAAAAACGGTTGGAATTTTATTATATCTACTTATATTTAGGTGATCACAAAAGCCATTTTAAACAAACTGAGCAATAATTCAAGAAAACATCCCAGCTTTTCATGTGGACCACTTCTAATGTGAAAAGTCGATTTGTAATTGTCCAAATCCGGTATTCCCAGTTATAGCTATTTATCTTTTATTCTATCTGAAGTGAAATTAATACCAGTAGGTGCAAACTTATTAAAGCAATTTCGTTTTAATAATAATAGTAAACTTTTAAACGTGGGTTGAATTGGTGTCGTTTATATAGTACAGAGAGCGCAAATGGGTTACTTCGTCATGTGACATACATGAATATGTACCGCTGGTATAAAAATATTTAAATTTTTATCAGGACGCTTACAGAGTCAATGATCTCTTTGATCATTGAGTGCTTTTACTCTGCTCGATGTGGAGAACCTTTTTAAAGTTCTTTATGGACTTTATATACATATATATGTGCATATTTACATTGATTTAAAGTAGACGCACACAGAGCATTGGATTTCACTGATTGTTACTGATCTAAAATCTTGCTAGCAATTAAACTGGTCACGACCGAAACA